TATTGGCACTTTTATATATTATATATATTATATATCTTGTATATATTTTATATACTTTATCATTAGAAATAAGCTCTTTGGATATAAAAGTTAAAGAAAATACTTGGATAGAGTCGAGTATAACACTACTCCTTATACTTTTCAAGTTTATTTTAGATATTTTTACTCTTACTTCTAAACTTTTAGTTAGTCTTAGGAATAGTTTCGACTGTTTGGTAAACTTGGAGTATTTTTTATACAAAAAGTAGAGAATAGAGCTCACTCTCTACAAAAGATCAGCATGCACATCATTGATGAATTTGGAAGTATGCTTATAGTATAACAACAATAAATATGTATATATTTTTGAGTTAACACAACAAACATATGATTTTATTTTGCAATATAAACTGTGAGCTTACTGCAATAATAATAAGCAATCACATGTTCGATAAAATAACCAAATTGTTATCGAATATTAGAGATATTTGCAAATAAGTATATTTTGCATTTATAATTTTTAACTACTCAGTCTTGAATAGGATTGTATGTTTAGGTTATGATTCTTATGAGACACTTTTTATTTTGTTTTTGTTTTTGTTTTTGTTTTGTTCCTTTTCCTTTTAGCTTATTAGGTTTTTATCTTATTAGCAAGTTTTTCTAACTTTGCTTTAAATATTATATATAGTATGTGGCCTTGCTTTTCACTATATGTAACAATTTTATTTTACTTTTATTATATCTGTTTTCCTAAATAGTCAAACAAAATTATCTAGACTTCTTTTTTTCTTTATATTAAGAAGGTTTTTAGTACAATAGGTTACGTTTGAACATGTATACAAATAAAGTATCGAGTAGTGCTTTTCATTAACAAATTAGATATATAGAGGGGAACTATAAGTTCTTGTATTAAGTTAAATCTTATACAGACTAGCCATCTATAACTTTTTATCTAATAAATATGTAAAGTGCAACTGTCAAAGGAAAAAAAAAAATTACAAACTATAGAAGATTACTCTTATATGATCTCATATAGGGGTTTATAGCAAAAGCTAGCTTCGAGCCCACCAATTGAAATTTACAATTTTATGATAAATATTTAGCTAATAATCTTAATTTTATAAAAATAAATTTTTTTTTGTCAAACAAATAATAAATTGCGTGTTTTTTTTGTTGAACATTCAGATTATTCTGATTCTGAAAATGAAACAGAATTAACTACTTTATTGGATAAAGAATTATCTGATTTTGAAGATTATAATATTCCTTCAAATAGGTTAAGTGAATTTGAGTTTGTAGATAGTTCTGATAATTATATTGAGGATAAGATCTATGATGAATTGAAATTAGAAGTTAAAAAATTTTTTGAAAAAGAAAAATGCTCCTGCCGTTCTAAACAACCTTGTTTTAACCAAATTGGCTATGATCAATTTCTTGCACGTCAAGTTGAATTTGAAAGTTTAGATAAAAAAATATGAGATATGGTTATTAAAGGAAAACTTTTAGCTTTTCAAAAGGAGGAAAATACCAGAAAAATTGCTAGTAATAATAGAAAACATTGAGTTTATAATTATTGCTATAATAATAATATTTTAATTTGTTGTAATACATATTTAGCTCTTATTGGTGTAGATCATATATATTTAGAAAATATAATTAAGCATTTTCGAGAATATAGGCTTGAAGAATGCATATATGATAATACTGGTAAAGCTCCAAAAAATATGAATTGCATTGAAGTGAATTATGATATAGCATGTGACATATATAAATTTTTAAAAAACTATTCTAATATATATGGTATGCTTTCATCTGGATGGCACTGTAATGAAATTTCTATGCTAATCATATTTCTTCCAACTAGCTATAATTACACTTCAGTATATCATGACTATGTACAAGCCTATAAGGATAAGCATAGAGAAAATATTCGAATTATGGCTAAATTGACTTTTATAAATATTTAAAAAGTTTTAATACTATCACTTTAATTTATGTTCCCAAAATCAGATTTATGTGAAAATTGTAAAATAATGAAATCAGATCTTAATATATTATACAATATGAAAAAAAATTAGAACTTACAGAAAAATATCTCACCTATTTGAATCATGTACAAAAAGAACGTAATTATTATAACGCCAATATTGTAAATGCAACTAAAGATAGTAAACAAAATATAAATATAACTAAGTTCTCAGAATCCCTAGTATTATTTAAAACATTTGATAGTTGTGCATATATTGTATATAACTAGGCTCAAAATGTACTAGTTCTATACTCACCACAGCAAATTGGTGCTTTATTTTTTAAAAGTTCTCGAAAAGTGTATTTGTTTAGTGTTTGTAATACTGGTAATTATCCTAACACGCAACAAATTAACTATATAATCAATGAGGCTGAAATGTCTAATAATAGTAAACAAGGAAAAGATGTGAACTGCACTCTAAGTTTGGTGTAGCATACAATTCAAAAATATAATCACAGAGAAAAAAAATTAATTATTATGTGTGATAACTATATAGGTCAAAATAAGAATAACTATTCGTTATTCTTTTATTCATAGTTGATTGATCATGGTATGTATAACAAAATTGAGCTAAATTTTATGATACTCGGATATACAAAGTTTATATGTGATGGTTATTTTAGCTTAATCAAAATTTTATATCAGAAAAGTAAAGTGAATACCATAGATGATGTAGTTTCAATTGTTAATTGTTCTACTATAAATAATTTTAATATTGCTCAGTGTTATTTAGATAGAAATAGCTTTCAGTATTATAACTTTAAAAAATATTTTGATATGTTTAAGAAATTACTTAATATTCAGAAATATCACCACTTTAATTTTACTTCACAAAATCCTGATATAGTTTTCTATAAGGACAAAATTAAAGATGAGTACAAAAACTTTACTATTCATTTTTTTCTTTTTGATGCTAATATATTATCTCATATAATTAGTACTAGACCACTTTTATTAAAAAGACAGAAGGAACTTTATAAGGAAATTGCTCCCTATATTGATATACTCTTTTGTGATATTACTTGCTCTAAACCTAATGCTAATGGATCAGAAGAAAATTAATTTTAAAAAATTATAAATTCAACTTTATCCTTTATTCATATTAAACTATAAAGTTAATTTATTATAAGCTAAAATATTATGACGAACATTTTATGTAATATATTTTTTAGATATTTAAAAAAAAATTGCATAGTAAAGTCAATCGTGCCAAAAAAATTTTTCTTTAAAAAAAAAAGGTCATAAATTAATTGATAAAATTACTATGCATAAAAAAATTTTTTTAATATACATTTTGTCTTTTACTCATTAATAAAGTATATTCGCAGTATTATTTTATATTTACTATAAAGTTTTCATTAAATTTGAGGTATTTTTTATTAGTAACTTTAACATCAAATCTACAATAACCAATAATAAATTTTAACATTAAAATTTGATGATTATCACATGATTTTAAAATTGATTTTCTCACAATCATATAATTGTTCCAAAGCTGTTTTTTGCTGTGACGCCCCTCATATATCAAACTAATAAAATTTGCTTAGCTATGTAAGCCACCTTAATAATAATAATAATAATAATAACAATATAATTTACAAGGTTATAACTTCTAGAAATGAACAGAGTTTATTATAAGTTAAATATAAAAGTTTAAATAATTATTCAAATTTATCAATATAGGATTTGAACTTTAAATCTCTTGTATAGTAGTCTAATAACCTGATTAAATATTAGTAGACCTTGTATAGTAGCTGAATTGTTATTAGTTAGAATGAATTTGAATATGTTTGCAATATTTAATACATCTTCTGTATTTTGTATCTCAAATTTTTAGCAATTTTGTGAACTGTTTTAGAGATAATATCATTGATTTGGCAGTCATTTTGAGTATATAAGATCTAATATAGATTAGTTTCTATTTCAGTTAAATATTTTTTATATTTGTTGTCAGAATATTTATATTAGTTTTTTTTGAAGAGATTTGCTTATATAGGGAGTTTATTTAGTAAAAATTTAAGTTTAAAAGCTTTAAGTTGTGATAGTTTAGAATTTGTACTCCTTGTAGTTGGTTTGTTATTATAGTTAAAAAATTTGTAAAAGGTAGACTAGTAAATCTTTTTTTATATTTAGTTTTACTTTTCTAATCAGTTTTGTAAATACTAAGTTGCAAAGTGATTTGCATTAGTTAAATGTCTAATAAATTAATAAGAATTATATATATTTTTTTTTTTTTATTGTTTAAGGCGGCTTACATTGCCGACAGGATTTTATTAGTATTTGCATACGGAATTATACAT